CACTGACAAATTTAAGAGTAACCCCAGAAATATCATCAATTCCTGCAGAACGTTTCTTAGTTGTTTTTTTTATAATGTCTTCGATTTCAGGTGGACTTGTCGGATACAGAAACATTGTGTTATAAGAAAAGGGGGAGAATTTATGGTTGTTCAGATCTGGTTTTGTATTTACCACATTCATGAAAAACTCATTGAAGTAATTACCTATTTTGAATTTATCATTTTCAAGTTTATCTTCTATATTTATTTGCAATGGTGTAACAGATATTGTGTTGTCTTTTGCTTCATCAATTATTTGCCAGCTTTCTTTAGATATATTACTGGTCTCAACAAGTCTTGCATCATTATATTCCAATTTAGCTTGCCGTACCTTATGTACCTTCTACATTTCACTCCTTACTCTTTGAGTTGTTTATTTCAATGTCTTCCTAGTTCATTTTTCACTCTCAAACATCAACGTTCACACTTCTCACTTTATTTTTCAACATCCAATCATAAAAAGCTTCGATGGTATAATCAGGGTCAAAATTGAATTAATCTGAAAGACAGAATTGCAAAAAATTGCGAAGTTCGAAAAAGAAATTATAATCTTTGAAAGGCTTGATCCCGGAAACTACTAGGTTTACAGAGACAGTCCTAGTATCATATTGTAGCAAATTTAGTCTACTTCAAAAACTTTCAAAGGGATTCGCCTAATCTGACAAAAAATTTTTTTTTTAAACTTGATTAATTGAAAAGCTCAGGCAAAAAGCATGCAAATAAATATGTGTATGTTTTTTAAATAGAATACTTGTATTTATAAGAAAATAAAATTTTAAAAAATGCTCAGAAAAATTTGATTTTTTGTAATCAATTGATTAATTATTCATCATCTTCATCACGAACGAGTCTCTGTGATCAGCTGTGATGGCGTCATCACAACAGAATACAGAGACGGGGACGGAGTGAGAGAGTAATAGATAGAGAAAAAGTGAAAGAGGAATAGAAACGCGGAGAGGGAAATATAGGTATCACACAGCTACACGCATTGAACTTTATCGACGAATTTTTGTTATTTGGGGTTGCGGAAATCATCAGACTATATATTTTCCTTTATCCTTGAATTATTTCCTTCAAAATAAAAAAAAATTAGCTACGCTCGAGAATGTTGAAATGACGTTATTTTTTACAACTTTGCTGCCCTTCCCTTTCTTTATGTCACTCTCAAATTGTCAGATTACTGGAATATACACTTTTTAGCATGTAATTAACTCACCTTACCTTAATCTGACGCGCCCGAGAATTTCTGATGATAAATTTTTTTTACTAATCTGATTCTTAATCCTTCACGGGCGGCAGTCACATCATCTCATTCGAAAATACAGTAATACTCGATAAAACTCAAAATTACTATCCAAGTATATAGAGAGCCAATAAAAATTCAAAAACACAGAAATAATATGAATAGAGAAGAAGAGGAAATGAACATTAATGAAATCTAGATACCTGTACTTAGAGGTACATAAACAAGGTCAGGTTATCGAATCGAGAGAAACCAATCCAGAATCCAGACCCACTAATAATGATATAAAACCAAAATCCAATAGCATCATCGTAGTTAATGCGATGGTAACGACGGGAACAACTGAATCATCAACTGGGACACTGCGACCGTTACCACATCGCCTTTGATAAAGACTACCACAGTAGTAGACGAAACGTCAGACATGAAAACCTGCAGACCATGGCCAAAAAAACCGGAAAATATTTTTCATACAGTTATCCCCGAACGTGAAAATTCACATTCTTTGATCAAAAGCATGTCATGCTAATTTGATAATTTCACGGAGGTACTCGTCGTAGTTTGGGAAATATGAATATTTAATTTTCTTATATATAAAATTCATTTTCTCATATATAATTCTTTTTCTTATATATAAAATTCGTCGAAATTCGTTTCGAACTAGGAACAACAGTATTTGAGTATTTATCCTGTAAATACGAAGTCTGATGCCTCCCACAAAATATAACGGGAGTATTCATAGTAATTCAATATAGTTTGAACCTATCAATTCAATTGGCAAAACAGTTTAAGTTAGAGAGCATATGTTACTCTATCAATTTACCTCCGAATAAATTTTCGTTTTAGGTCAATTGATGATTTTGTCCTAGCTGATTAACGGAAAAACATATTTCAAACAGATTTTTTTTAGATTTCCGATCCTATATAGTAGGAAGCAGATCGTGTAAGTACCGTCTACTTCCGAAAACGTAACAAACATCATTTTACCTATATAGTAGGGAGCGGATCGAATAAGGTCGGTCAACTTCCGAACACTTAACAAAAATCGTCAGTAGATGACGACACAGAACACAAATCAAAACCCAAAAATCAGTTTAGCATATTCCTGTCTGTGAAAACCTTAGATTTAACATTTCAAACCTTTACGGGGAGAAGAGATCAATCAAGAAGAACTCAGGAAAAAATCAACAATTCTTATATAGTAGGAAGCAGATCGTGTATGAAAAGTCTACTTCCGAAAATGTAACAAACATTATTTTACATAGTAGGGAGCGGGTCGAGTAAGGTCGGTTGACTTCCAAAAATCGCCAGTAGATGACAAATGAGACTCCCCAAATCAGTTCAGCATATTCCTATCCTAGAGAACTTCAAATTTAACAAAGTATTAACCAAGTATTTTGTGGAGTTGCAGTCAGATTGGTAGAGCTGTTACAATCTGACTGCAACCCCACAAAATACTTTGATTTACATTAAAGCCAGCCACGAATTCTTCTCTCGGTCAAAAAATCAAAACTCTGCTCTACTTTGTCAAGCTTTCACTTCTGATGGGAAGCTTCTTCAGGGCCCAATATGAGTATTCCAACAGAGACTTTCATCAATGTATATTCCTAAAAAAATTTGACCATTTAAGAAAATTTTGTTGTTGTAAGCCAAATTCTCTGTGTTTCTGTCGGTTTCTGTCAAAAACTATTTTTTCGTTGATCAGCTGCCGCCCCCGTACGAACGACAACTCTCAAAAGGCGAAACTTGTGCGAGCCAAGGATTAACGAGACCTTACCTTTCAACGTATGATTTCTAGCACGATAAAAGGTGAAACATTACATTACAGTAATCTGTATCAAATTGATGAAGATATGATATTGTTGCAATCTTTTCTACATAACATTTCATTGCTACTTTTCTAATATTCCTGCAGAGGTAAGAGGACTTTTAATAATCTGTTTGACGTGAATCGGGCTTATCAGAATGTAATCGATAGGTCAATAATAATCATGACTCCGTAGGCGGATCAAAAAGAAATTCGAGAGAACCTCCATTAGTCCCGACATATGGTCATGCTTGATGGCATTTGAAATATGAAATATTTATGTAATTCAAGGTTGTTTTTTGTTAAGATACACCTCAAGAAAGGTGGTTTGAAGTTTTATGAAAAAAGCATATCCATAAAAACGATATAGAAAGTTGAACTACCTTGGTCTTCTCTTCGAATTTAAAATTATCCGATTTCTAATCAATATTCAGAATTATTTTCATAATGAATATATTGAATATGTATATGTTCACTAATATTTTGTGGCAGTAAGGATAAGCCGAGAATCCAATGAACTGTATAAAGTCTCCCAGAGAAATAACTAATTGTATTGCAATAATTACAGGAGTCTTTGATATGTCAGTTTAGTCTTGTATTATGTTTGAGAATGGAGAAAAATAAAGTAAAGTTAATCTAAAACATAATATACGTTTTGTGTAAAAATCCATTATGCCAAAAATTGAATTTTTTGCATTAGTGCAAAAAGTAATTTACACAATACAAAATAATTTATGCACTGTTTTGCCTACAAATCGAATATGAACCGTCTTGAAATTATGTAGCCCCGAAACCTAATATTCAAGCTCCAAAATCAATACATTTATAGGTTTTCCTGTCAATGTATTTCATGCAAGTTAGAAATGGTCACCTTCAATATAATTCCGCAATCACAGCTGTAAGACTGTATTGAGTTGACAGTTTACAATTACAATATTTTGTTGTGGAGCTAATATAATTGAAACAGTGAATAGAGCTACAACAGATTTACTGATTAATCTAAAAAATTATACGAAACTTGTTATGTACTGTTTATAAACAGGTGTGAAACACAGTTTATTAAGAATATTATTGAGAAAGTTCTCCTAGCATATTTACAAGAAAAATCAGAATTATTCAAGTCCAAATGCTTATAGAAAAATATATAATTTTATAAACGGGCCTTTTTTGCTTGCGGCTGGCGTTTTCTTTGGAATATTCATAACTCCTTTCTTATTGCATATTTAGAATATAAAACGAACCAACATACAAAATTTAAGCCCCTGAAAATATAGCAGTACAGAGAAAAAGTGATGAAAAGGTAACTTTATTTTATGAACGCTCCTTTTTCCGCGCGGCTGGCGCCCCACTTGAAATATTTGAAATTCCTTCCTTATTGAACATCTGTAACATAAAACGAACCCACATATAAAATTTCAGTGTCCGAAAATATAGCGGTATAGAAACAGTGATGAAAAGGTAATTTTCATATGTATACGCTCTCTTTCATCCCCAAAGGGGGCGCTCCATTCGGAATATTTGAAAATCCTTCCTCATTTAAGACCACTATATACCAAATTTTAGCTTCCTAGGACTCAGCAGTACGTACGTACGGTACGTGAGACAGAGATGAATGAGTGAGAGTTAAGTAAGTGACTTTCCCATTATAAGTATAAATTTGTTACTTTCTTGATACTGTTCAGTCTTTATTGATTTATGGACGAATTTTATTTTTCTTGGTAACTAAATGGTTAATTATTGAATCAAATACTAACACGGAATAGCATTCTATATTTTCTGGGCATCAATGTGGTCTGTCAAAATTGTGTATATCAATTGTCACTGGAGTAGAATAGTCTCTTAGAAATACAACAATAACATGATAGATTGAAAAGTGTGTTTTTAACATAAATGAGATAAATAATTTTTTACCACAAAATGGAAGTTCACCAATCCACTGTCCGGAAGGGGAGCAGGTAGTATTTGTGTTACCGAATGTTTCGTATCCTTCGTCGCACTGATATGTCGCCACGGTGCCTGGTGCTAAACTTGGGGAACTTAACGTTACTCTGCTGTTTAGAAGTACTGTCGGATGTCCACATTTTATATCTGAAAAGAAGAAAAAATACGGCTGAAAAATGATCGATTTAGGATGCCATGCAAAGATTGTGGAAGTACCTATATAGGTCAGTCCAAACAATACCTACAAACATAGATACAAGTACACAAATATTCTAAAACTGACTCAACAGCCTTGTCCAAAATGGACATAAATTCGACTTTGACAAGGTTGAAAGTTTGATCAAGGAAAGAAATACAAAAGTTAGAAATTTCTTTGAGATGATCCACATAAAAAATATCCTAATAGTATTAATAATAGAAGCGATATCTAGAACCTCAATCAAGTCTATAATAACTTACTAAAATAAAACTGACTTTTACATCTACTCATTGGAAATTACAAAAAGGTAACTAGAGCTCACATACTATAATCGAAACGGTCGAACATTCCAATAAATTTGAAAAATAGGGGAAAAAATATAACAGATAGAACAAATTCGACACCAACAATCTCGTTCATACATTCAACCACTATCATTTTAAACGAGTAAATGAAATAAGTACAAAATAGTAATCTTGTTCAATTATTGTGTAAGTAAAAATCATAAATGTTTCCTTCACATTGATTTCTAGTCATTCCAATATTGATTTCAATTTAAGAGCCACCGGTAGGTAGATGTTTCAGCTTATTAGGCGTCATCAGTACCGGACAGACAAAATGTGAATAACCAAGAAAAGCACTTGATAAAAATAACTGCGTAAACGCAAGCGAGACATAAGTGAAACCAACTATTGGTGTGACACCCAAGTCAACTTGCCATGCTTTAATGTCAGTGTTGGTGGTATATAAATATTTTTAACTGGTGACCCAGTATTTTCAACTGGTTTTTAAATTATGTATTAAATTTTGAATTCAGCCATACAGCACACTTGTAGTTTTCCTTGAATACTGATGAAAAAAGGCAATTTTATTGCGTATATTATAAAGAGGGCCATGAATAAGTCATAATAAATGCAATAATGTATTTATCGATCTGTCAGAAGACCTGTCAGATTTGACGAAAGTGTATTCAGTTTTGTGTTGGTTTTTCGTAAAATTAAAAAAATGGTTCAATTTTCAAATGCAGAAAAGTTGGATGTGAAATATGTTTATGGCGAAGCAAGAAGGGATTCAAAAGAAGCAGTGAGAATATACGCTAATCGGTGTCCTGACAGAAAATTACCGTCAGACAACACATTCGCTGGCTTAGCCAAATCTTTGGCACGAAATGGATGTTTTAATGAACGGAAGCGAAAAAAAAAACAAAAACGGCCACTGATGAGAATAACAGTGTTGCAGTGCTAGGTCAAATGGTGTTGGAACCATATATTTCTACCAGACAAGTTGCAATGCATTGTAATATTTCGAAATCGTCAATATAACGTATTTTGTCAAAAAACAAATTCCATCCATACAAAATACATTTGGTTCAAGGAATACATCCAGGTAATAATCTTCATGTTTCTTTTTTAATAACTAAAATATATTCCCATATTCAAGAGATGCTGATAGAAGATTGAACTTCATTGCATGGTTGTCCAGCCGTATTCATGATGATGATCAGTTTCTGAAAAAAATATTATGGAGTGATGAAAGCCGTTTCCATAACAACGGTATAATAAACAAACATAAATGTCACTATTGGTCTGACGTGAACCCTCATTGGGTGCAAGAAACGAGATTTCAATCTGTGTGGGGGATTAATGTTTGGTGCGGAATCATTGATGGTTATTTGATTTTTTCGAAGGAATTCTCAATGGGGAAAGGTACTTAGTTTTTCTACAACATGTTTTGCCGAATCTCTTGGAGACTTTACGAATACAAACTCGACTGAATATGTGGTTTCAACAAGATGGGGCATCTGCACATAATAATAGAATAGTTACCGAATATTTGGATGATACTTTTAATGAGAAATGGATTGGAAATAAGGGTCCAATACAATATCCAGCTCGAAGTCCAGATATTACTCCAATAGATTTGTTTTTGTGGTGATATATCAAAGACTTAGTTTATATGCGATATTCACAAAATGTAGAGGATTCGAAAAATAGTATAAAAAATGTTTGTGCTTCCATAACGCGAGAGACGCTTTTAGCTGTCACGGGAGTTACTAAAAAGATGCAATATGTGTATTCTATGTGAAGGGAGGCAGTTCGAACATTTACTAAAATGATTCTTGTTATCACTAATTAGTCGAGTTATGGTCAAATTAACATATTTTTTGGTAATTTGAAACATTTATTTTAATTTATACAGAAATACGCAACTAGATAAAATTGAACAGACAATGAAATCATAACTGGTGGATTGATTTTATTAAACACGTATTATTGCATTCATTTTGACTTATTCATGGCCCTCTTTATAATATGCAATGAAATTTCCTTTTTTCATCAGTATTCAAGGAAAACTACAAGGGTGCTATAAGGCTGAATTCAGAATTTAATGCAGAATCCAGAAACGAATCGGAAAATCTAGGTTACCATTTAAAAAAATTGGCGTCGGTGTCGCGACGCACTAATGAATGACGCCTATTGCTGGATCTCTTCCCAAATAAGAGTACCCTTTGACATCAAAATCATCTGCCTTCACGAAATATGGATATTTTCTCTCATTTTTCAGATATCTGCCCGCGGAGTTTTATATGGGACACCATACCAACACTGGTAAAATAAGTGAACTCTTTTTTCTGTTCTAGCTTTCGAGTCTTTATCGGTTCTTCATCAGGAACTCTACAATGAATTGATAATTGATTTTAAAATTTATTTGACAAATTATGAAATGTGTGACACTTACGAAAGTGAGGTTAGTAATCCCTTCCACTTGCCGCGACTTGTAAACATAACATTTCCCAAACGACAAACACTCTTGGTAAAAAACGACATTTTCATGTTGGTTTTTACCAAGAGAAAAAAGATCATTTTGTTGAGACTTTCAAGGGATTAAAAATTTATCGAACTCGGAAAATACACTTCTTGGGTGTGGTCTAGTATAAAAATGGATAGAAGGTATCTTCATGCTTTTAAGAAGGCGTGCAGAATCGAACAAGTGAAATACGACTGACGTCTGAAATTACGTGAATACTACCTCAAGCAACAATTCACATTGATATTTATAAAAATAGATTTGCTGGTTCGTTCTCCTTTGTTCTCGGTATTTATATTCGTAATCATGCTACTAATAATAATAAAAATCAGTCAACTTGTTCCGTAGAAAGTTCACATTGTAATCTCAGACACCTCATTAAACGCGAATCATAACTTTCAAAAAGAAAATAATATTTTTTATGTCACAAGTTTTCAGTCTGGAGTGTTTGGAGTTAAGATATACAGTGCATTCCATTTAAAACGAGCCACCCTGAATAACTTTTGGTACAATGGAAAAATAAAAAATACGTCAACAATAGTATAAAGTGGGACACATTTTGACATATTCACATTTGATGCTACTTTCCCTATCGCACCCCCAGAGCATGTCATCAATTTTTCTTCAAAGGATCACCCTATATTCGCATTAGCAGATGCTCCATGATGGCCCGATTTCAACAAAGTATAAAACATATGGTCTGAAGCATATGGTTCAGAAGCTACAAATTATTTGAGATGAAAACGAGCCACATTGAATAACTTTTGAAACAATGATATGCAGGAAAAATAAAAAAACAGGTCAATAATCATACAGGAGGCCACATTTTGAAATATTCGTTCTAGAGACAAATATGGAAGCAATAAATCAGAAAAAGAGATTTTTTCTTAATTCTTGAATCAAAATCTGGTGACAATGAGAAAAAACAATTTTCTATCTTGAATGTTCAAAAACGTTTCCACCAACTTCCATACAATGGTACAAACGAGCTTCCATTGTCGCTCTCACATAGTTGAGAATGTCAGAAGTTATTTCTCTGCAATACCTCATTATATTTTCTCTCAAATCTTCCAATGTTGTTAATTGTATCTTATACACTTTAGAATTCAAATGACCCCATAGAAAGAAATCCACAGGAGTGAGATCCGGAGACCTTGGTGGCCATTCTGTAGCTCTTCTTTTGCCAATCCAGCTGCATAACGAGGAGGTGCACGATCCTGCTGAAAAACTATTTTGTTTTCGGATAAATTTATATCCTCCTCAATTGCCCTATTGACGCATGGTATTATTCGATTCTCCAACATGTCCAAATATTTATCACTAGTCAAATTATCATCGATAAAGATGGTCCTATGATGTGGTCACCTAAAATTCCTGCCCAAACATTCAAGTGTTTAGGTCGTTGGGTATGAACTTGACGATATAAATGAGGATTCGTGTCACTCCAATATCGACAATTTTGCCGATTCACCTCTCCATTTAAACTAAATGTACATTCATCCGAAAAACGTATTCTATATAAGAAATTCTGATGCAAGTTGATCCGTTTAGTGAGACTGTCACAAAACTCGATACGTCTATCGAAATGATATTCGTTCAATTCATGAACTCGTCTAATCTTATATGGATGGAATTTGTACTTATGAAGGATCCTGAAAACATTTGTACGACTGAATCCTGATTCTCGAGATAACTCAGTAATAATTGCGAATTTTCCATTGGTCCAACGTGCCCTAAAACTGCAGTACAAATAGCTTCATCGTTGACAACTTGAACGGTTATGCTTTCTATTGTTAACAGATTCAGTTTCCATAAATTTGTTCAATAATTACGAAACGTATTTGTGGGCAGCAGCTCTAGCATTACTTCCATTCTGGTAGTACAAACTCACAACTTCAATCCGTTCTCGAAGCGTATAAAACATTGCTTCTCAAGAATTCACAAAAACAGAAACACCAATTGTAACTTCACCTGGTAGATAATCGTTATTGTAGAATGAGACATATACAAAATTAAAAAAATATCAAATTCAAACTTGACTAGGTACAATAAGACTTTTTTGAAGTATACTTCACAAAAACACCTATAAAACCTAGGTAACAGATTGTATAGAAGTTCATTCAGGGTGGCTCGTTTTCAA